ATATAGGAAAAAATATTATATATTAGCCTCACGAATATAAAAAAAAATATCTCAAAGATTTGTAAATTGAATGTAGGAATAAACAGGATAATCCACAACAACCAGGCGGGTTCATTTCAAAAATGCAATACTGATTTTACGTTATTTTACAAAAATTAGTCATTCACCTCTATTAAAATTATAAAAGGGAATTAAATAATATCAATATATGCATAAAGATACAATTCTAGCAACACACAGTTAAACAAAATTTCCTTAACAAATTGAAGAATTTCAATTTTCGAAATATAAAAAATAGGATTAGTGATAAAATATTAAAAGCTCTACTTCTGAGACTGAAAACAAAAGCTTAAGTTCTAAATTCACTATTTTTTAAATATTTTATTAAATGTCCTAGGCAGCACAAGAAGAACTAAAAAAATACAAAGTTTTTAAAGGAATAATTATAAACTATTATTGATAATTGACATTATACTGTATGTAAAAAGACTTGATAGAATCTGTAGACTTTTAAAATTAACAAATGAATTTAATAAGGTCTCTGGATAAAAGGTTAAACAAAAAATCAGTTGCATTTCTATATACCAGCAACAAAAATCATAAAATAGCCTTTAAAGAAAACATCATTTAAAATGATCAACATAGGTCAAATATAGAGAACTGAATCTGACAGAAGTATATGATTTCTACACTGAAACAACAAATTATTAGAGGGAAGCAAATAATTCCCAAATAAAACCATAGTTTTTTGTAATCATGTAATTACTTGATTAATTGATCAATAGATTAAATGCAATCCTAATACAGATCATAGCAGGTTTTTCTTTTTCTTTTTTTTTTTTTGAGGGAAATTGGCAAGGTTCTTATAAAATGTATATGGAAACACAAAAGGTCAATAATTGACCAGGCATTCCTGAGGAAAAATGAAATTGAAAGAGTTCTACTATCAGTCATGCAGTCACATTGTTAAGCTATATTAATTAAAGCAATATAGTGTTAGTGTAAACATTTATAAAAGACCAATGGAATAAAATAGTCCAAATACAGACCCACATTTATAAGGACAGCTGATGTATGACGAACGTGCCTGCAGTAAAGTGAGGAACGAATGGCCTTTTTAGTAAATTGTGCTAAGTCAACCTATCTCTAGGTGGGGAAAACCACTGGAGTTCTACCATATAGATATTCATTCCAGATATATTTTAGATTTATATGTGAAATGTAAACAATAAATCCTGTATTTTAAAAAAGCATATTTATTACCTCGTTGCTAACAAATATTTCTTATGTGGGGTACAAAATGCTTACTCTGCAGAAAAAAATTATTAATTGAACAATATTAACACTAGTAATACCAAAAGACACTGTTAAGTGACTAAAAACTCAAGTCATAGAATAAGCAGATGAAATAGCAGATACAATAGCAAAAAAGCCAACAGTTTTGTGTTTCTTAAGAGTAATAAAATTGACAACCACCTGGCAAGATATATTTTAAAAGAGAGCGAGAATAAGCATCAATATTGAGGATGAAATAGGAATATCACTAATATTTCTATAGACAATATGAAAATAAGAAAGATGTTTGACAAGAGCAAAGATATTAAAAATCTTAAAAAGGAAAGATATATATATCTTTGAACCGACTGCTTTGAACAGACTTTATATCTATTTATATTATATGTTGCTATCCCTTTTTGGTTTGCTTTCGTTACATTTTGGCTTTGTTGCAGATACCCAGTGTGGTTCAAGCCCAAGACCCCAAAATATGACAATAAGAACAATTCAGGTGAAACAATGAGAGAGTACAGTTTTATCACATACTAATCTTTTTAGAAACTTAGGTTTCAAAAAGTGGAAGAAATAATTGCCCTACATAAAAATATGTACATATGTGTAAGCAAACATATGCACATGCACACTCATAAATAGACATGCATATTCTTCAAATCAGTGAAAAAAATAGGGCAACACATAAAAAACTAGACAAAGGATTTGAATGGGTACTTCACAAAAGAGGTATAACAAATAAGAAATATGACGAATTAATGTGAAAACTGACTCAAAATTTATCAGCAGTGAAATATCAATTATAATCAGAACTTAATACACATTTACCAAGATGGCTAAAATGAAAATTATATAAAATAATAGGTGATGAGTATACAATCTGTGACTGGAATGCTTTTGTACAGCTGGTGTAATTTTAAATCAATATAACCACTTTGGAAAAGTATATGGTGGTATATCTTAAACTTATGCACATCACATTATTTGGTAAATCAATACCTAGGCTGCACTCAAGGAAAATGCACCTAAAATATATATACCAAAAATGTAAATAATATGTTCACTGTAGTACTATTTGTAGTAAACCAAACTGAAAATTTTGAAATGCTTATGAAAAGCAAATAAATACTGGTATAGTCTCACAATGGAATCCTATATAATAATAAAAATAAAAACTGCAACTACATGCAACAACATGGATAAATCAGTAAAATACAATGTTGAGCGAAAAAAGTCACAAAGTCCACAGAGTCCATCTGTACGATTCCATTAGCATAACTTTCAAAATAAAAGGCAAAAGTAATCCATAGTGTTAGAAATCAGACTTGTGGTTTCCATCGGGAGTAACATTGACAGGAAGGGTGAGGCTCTGGTATGCTGGTAATGTTCTATTTCTTAAACATTGATTAAACAGAGATATGAAATCTGGTTACTCGGATGTGTTTATTTGGAAGGTTTCTCTGTATACCTATGATTTTTGGAGTTTTCTATCTGTATGCTATACTTTTTTTAAAAAAAGGTAAAACTTCAATGATCATGAAAAATTTAGATATTGAGATGAAATTTTGGTACCCCTAAAATACACCTTGACCACTAGGCTGCTCTGAACAGACTTCATATCTATTTATTTTTATTATATGTTGCTATCCCTTTCTGGTTTGCTTTCCTTACATTTTGGCTTTGTTGCAGATGCCCAGTGTGGTTCAAGTCGAAGACCCTAAAATATGACAATAAGAACAACACAGGCTTCTGCATTACCAATGGTAGAATATAGTTTTATCACATATTAATCTATTCAGAAACTTACCTTTCAAAAAGTGGAAGGAATAATTACCCAGGGAATAAGAAAAAAATGTTCTCAATGAAACCCAATGTATACTGATTGTTTAAGCAAATGAATAGTATACACACTAAGCAAACTGTACTGGGAGAGTTGCCCATTTATTTTATTTTGAAACACACTGCATATTTGTCTAAAGGCCAGTTTTAAGCTATGTGATTCACTTAACTTCCTCTTTCCCTTCAATTATATTTAGACATTGGCTTTAAGTTTTATGTTTCCATTATTTTATTTTTCTGCATTTCTAAATATGAATTTCATTCGTACAAAAGGAGCTACTTTGTAGCTGTTAAATCTGGCTCTCTATCTATCTATTACTTGCAAAATGAGTAGTTCATCTTCATCACTTGGAAATTGCAATATATAATAAAGCTACTGAGTTACCTCTGGTGTCTTATAAAACGTGTAAATTAGAGTACCACTCCAGGCTTTCTTAATCAGAATCTCTAGAGAGAGCTACAAGAATCTTTCTTTTACAAAAACTTCTAACATGCACAGCAGTTTTGATACTCTTGCCAATAGTTCCAGAGAAGGGGAGGGAGGGGATATAGAGGATGCAAGTTGTGAGAAAATAGTTTGCTCCCTCTTCTTTGTTCCCATATTCAAAGTTACAGGAGAAGCTTTTTCATAAGATTTGTGACATCTTGTTCTCTTTCTCTCAATAGAAAAGAACAGGACAAGGTACAGTTAGTGCCCTTCTTATGAATAGACTGCATTATCTTATTAATCATTTGTTGGGACTCTATGCATTTTACCAGAGACATTCCTTTCTAATGAGTAAGTTTTAAAATCAACACTTGAAACTCAAATTAACCTAGATGAGTTTGAACTATGGTATTGCCATCACTATTTAAGACTATAAACAAGCACCAATTATGACATAGTTTATAGAGAAAAAGTATGCACGAATCTAATTTTCATAAGTTCTCAGGCAGTGTCCTTGCAATATGAGGTCTCTAAGAGAGAACAGAACTTGTAAATTTAGCATTGTCAGCTTAGGCACCATTACCTAATTATTTCCATGACATGTTTGAGAGGTAATCTAATATCTGAAGTTGATTATTTACATATAATTCTACAAAGTATTATGTAATGTTGAATGACATTTTGAAGACAAACAGACTTATATTTGAATCCCAGTTCTAAGTCTCAGTTTGCTTGCTTTAAAATGGAATATATTGATGCTTCTACAGTATTGTCTGATATCTAATAAATTATCAGTTAAAATGGTAATAAAATATAAAATATAGTAATTATATATCATTCTACATATCATATTAATGTTGAATTAAATTACACAATTGTGTGTATGTAATTCTATTATCATATTCTATAATGATTAAGAAAATTATTTCTTCTTGTAAACTAATGAGAAAAGGCTGTGATCAGCCTTAGGTAAGATGATAAAGTAAGAGATAGAACCCATTTGGGTTTAGCCATTTTCACATTCCTGACCAACAAACTTATGATTTGAATAGGGCCAAGAAAACTTGTATTTAAGATTTTCAAACACATTTGAAAATCATTTTCTATGTGTCCACTGGCATTTTCTAAAAAATGCTGAGACATGGCCTTTCCCAATTGCTACCAAAATGATTACAAAGCATTACTGATAGAATATATATGTGAATGTCATGACACCCAAATGCTAAGTTTGACAATGTAGATTTTATGGCTAGGCACGGTGGCTCATGCCTATAATCCCAGTGCTTTGGGACGCCGAGACTGGAGGACCACTTGAGTTCAGGAGTTTGAGAGCAGCCTGGGCGACACGACAAAAACCTGCTCTACAAATTACATAAATAAAAATTTAAAATTTAAAAAATAGGCTTCCCCATGTAATAAAATTCCCACTGAGAAATTTCAATCCACCTATGTCACAGTAGGTAACTCATCTTTATTTTTTCCAATAGCTGGATTATTACAACCTATACATCATTTGCAGTGTTATTCCAATCGTTACAGTGTTGTGCTTTTCTATTGAACGATGATCATTGACACACATTGAAAATATTAAGTACTTGAAAGTAATGCATTAAGCAGGAGTACTTGACACATGTGAAAAATTTAACTTGGTAGCAAACAACAAAAGAACAATGGAAACAGTAATGAAGCCAGAAACCTCCTTGCCTCCCAGTAATTTGCAAAACATCTGTACATTTTGAAGCCAGCTAGCAGTGTGGAACAAGAAATCCGAAGCCTCAATCCCATTTAAATAAATAAAATTTCAGGATTTTCACAGTGATTACCTTCATGGCAGCTAATATTAAACGAGCACATTGAAGTATGCTAGGCACTGTTCTAATTGTTTTATACATTATTTCATCTTTGCAAGAAATACTCATTGTCTACATCGTACAGATAAGGAATTGAGCACAGAAACGTTGTGATTTGCTCAAGCTTTCATGGCTAGAAAGTGGCAAAGACCTAATTCTAAAATGGCTTTATAATTACAGATTTTGTGCTCTTATCTTTTGTTCTGTATTGCTTGGTCTTCAGTGTTGCCTCAAATACCCTCCTGATTTATCCCCTGCTCCATACACAAAAATAATATGCAGGGTTATTAACTAGGGAAGAAGCTGTTAATTTTTATGATTTTCCTACTACAAAGATACTCGTCTATATTTTGAGGGTGGAAAATTAAAATAGCCACAAAAAACACACATGAGATTTCAAAATATAAGCCAGTTAAATGTCATAATGGCACACAAATAGTCATCAATAGGTTTACTATAGCAAAATACAATAAATTATATTGTATTGTATTCATTAAGTGGCAGCTAAAAAAGGATTACTTCGCTGCTGAAAGTAATGCCTAAATAATGTGGAAATTTTACATATATATAAAACAGTTCTAATGATCATACATAATAAAACATGTGTGAAGATAGCTTACATAAGAAAAACAATTTATACACGGGTCCATTGATCACCACCAGTATCTCTCCTTTTGCCCTGGCCTTTCCCAGTTATCTGAAGATCACTGCACCAAATAATTGTTTTCCCATATATCATCAATATCAAGCATTTTGAAGAAATTTTACTTTTTTTTTCTGTGTATGAAAGGAGTTCCAAAATATGGAGTAGAGTTGTATGTTTATTAATGGTGAAATGGGGCATAAAACTTAACCTTCAAAAGCCACAAATGATGCAATTTTTATCACACAGAACATAGGGTCAATGGGAAAGGGAGTGAAGAATGTGGATAGAAAATAATTTAGGAAGATAACACAATAGAATAGAGTGGAGTGAAAGGGAACACTTGACACTTTCCTTTGAGTGTCTGAATCTGAATGTCTATCCATGTCATGATGAAAAGTTCTTGGAAGCAATGCTTTGGCTTTTTAGAAAATAGCCCTTTAGTTGATTAAGGAGAATTTCCATGGATGAGGAAATAATCATATCATTGTCAGATATTTGTTATCACTGTCCTTACATCATGGTTCTATTAGAGAAAGATAGTAATATGAGATTAAGTGTTTTCATTTGGAAATTGTACTGATGATTCAATAGGAGAAATAATGATAAAAGCATTGTTTTAGAAAAATTAATTGTGAAGTATTCTGAATGATTTCAAAGGATATCAAATGTATTTGAGTCATAGAAGTGCCACTGTGTGATGTTGAACATAAACTGAGGAATTAGGATAGTGACATTTGCATCATAGAATAAATATATAAAAGGCAACAACCTATTTAAAAAAGTACAGGAAAATCTAAATTCTATTTTTATCTCCACTCTTCACTCAGTGCATAGAACCATACCTGAGGCATAATTACAACTCACTAAGTTGTTGTTGAATACAGTCGAATTACAGAGACTTATTTCTACATAGTAAAACTAGAAAAAGTGGAAATTATTTTATCTTGCTAGTGAAGAAAGTGTAGCTAATCTACTCCACAGAGTAGAGGATAGTTTAGTGGTGTTTTTTCCCCAGTAATAGACTATAGTATCAGAAATCCATATATATTCAGGCCACATTAACTTATTATTTAATAAAGATAATAGAGGAAATAGATACATGATTTTAGTTTACTTCTTGTGGACAAGGGTATTGGAGAAAACTGCAACTAGTTCACAATACCTTTAGATAGTCACGATTAACTACTATAAAATATGTTTCTGTGGAAAACAAACACAAATTATATACTCAAATACTCTATAATACATATTGTAATAAATCTATAGAAGCAACTATCTCCAGAATAATAGGTGTACTACTTCTATAGGGTTTGTGGTTAACATTAGACAAATCCTTTGCTGGAGTTGGAAAAGAGAAACATTACAGCTTAAGGAGCTATTTTAGCTGTTCCTGGCTGACAGCAGAGATTCACCTGTGAAGTCAAAATACCATAAGCCATAGCTACCTCAGTTGTGACTCAGAAAGTCTAGCAATGTGTCTGAACCACCATCACCACCCCTTTCAGAACAAGTAAGGGCCCAGGGTACTCTACCTTCAGCTTGAGAACCATGGCTTGGCATATAACGTGGCACTTGTGATCTGATCTCAGGAAAAATACTTTGTTGCAAATGGATATATAAACAACTACTTCTAATGCAAAGCTGGAGTTGATGAACAAATGTCAAAAAAAAAAAAAAAAAAAACCATAGATCAGAGACCAAACAAATAGACATAAGCACGTAATAATAAGTAGAAGGAACATTGGGTCAGGAGGGCAGAGTGGAGATTCAGTCTAGAGAGTCCTCCTTGGGCACCAGACTGGGAAATATTCTACAGAGGTTATGATGATGTCTAGGGTATTAAATGTGCTATTAAAGTATCCATATCTATTCAAACATAAGATTAAGTAACTGAAGTTCCCAAATGGTGACCAGAACACAGCAGTAGGTGATTTCTCTGAAGTTCAAACGGGTGTGTTGGGAAAAAGAGGACTCGCCATAGGAAGCAGGTCACAGCCCTCAGGGTTGGTTTTCAGAACAAAGCCCCAGTTCCCAGGAAAGAATCCTACAGAGACTATTGTAGGTGTTTGCCTTTGGGAGACTTAGACATTAGGCACGATATAGAAAAAACATTTCCAAAATCTTAACTACACGATCGGGGACATGAACTATGTTATCCAAATAGAGGCACTGCAGGAAGATGAGCTATGACTCAGAGAACAACTTGAAACTCGGTAGACAGCAGTGGAACACAGTGTCCTGGGTCAAATTTTCAGCAAAGGGAAATTGGGGCAGAGTTAAGAAATACAGTCTCATTATGAAAACAGCATTTCTTGGACCATGGTACTAGGGAGGGGAACTTAATTCTAAATCATAATATATGGGAGATTAAGTAAAATAAATCCCTTCTTTCTTATTAGTTCTAGTGTAGAAAAAGGCAGGAAGAGCCTGTGGTTACACTGTTCCTTTGTTACAAAAAGTTAACAATGAACTTTAGCCTTAGAGAATTTGGAACCTCAGAATCAAAGGAACAAAATTGAGATCTGTTTAATGACATTGAAAAGAATCAACATATTAAAAGCATATTGTTCTGCTTCATAAATTCATTTGATTGCCCAAATCAATTCATAACTGCCCTCGTTTCAATCAACTACAGACAATCTCTTATTTCTTCAGATTTGTGATTTAGACACGTGAAATCTCTATGCGGAATTGAAGTGCAGTTTCGGACATTTCTGTCTTATAAATTGCATCAAATTTCTCATTTTGAGCCACTGTGAAGTAATTCTTCCAGTCACCAGCCGTCCCTAAAGATAAATAAAAAAAAAAAAAAATAGGAAAGAATAAAATATTTCCGTAAGAAGAAAAAGCAGTATATACCAAAGGAAAAGGTTAGAAGGACTAAAGAAAGACTTTCATTTTATTTGAATGAATTAAAACAGCCTTTAAATTGTATTAAGCTTTAAATTTTTAAGCCTTTTAAAAATTCAATAATTTTTTTCCATCTGGAAAGGTGGCTTATAACTAAATAGAGTCTGACATTTGAAGAGGCATTCTGAGAAAGACTAATTTTCTTGTTTAAATTCCTGGGCTTTACAATAGTTTCCTGAGTGATAATTTCACTGTTTCTATTGGCCGTGGGTCATGAGGTTATCACTGAGCACTTGGATCAATAGTCAGGGCATATTTTATTTCATAAAGTAACTTTTGGAAACTAGATAAAAAATTAGTCATCAGCACAACAAAACTGCGAAATAAAAAGTTGATAAGTATCACTTCCTGGAATTTATAAACAAGGATGCTATGATATGGAGATGATAGTTGTTTTTCCTAAATTCACTAGGCTTGTTCTTTATTTGTAATTTAGGTGGGAATAATAACATTAATATCAAATACACAACATCCACAACATCCTGGAACCATGTTTTTTAAAGTAAATCTTTTAGGATAAAAAATTAAATTTAATATCTCATACTTGGGTATCTATAAATACGTATTTGGAAAATGAACAAACTTTTAATGTACTGCCAATATTTTTAGAGAAAAACATCTTAATATTTTATGAAATAGTAACACATCATATTAAATTACAAGTTATATTAATCCACAGTGGTTTGATAAAACTTCCAAGTCTTTTAAAAGAAAAACATTCTTATAGATATGGTTGTTTCCCTAGTTGTTACATTTTGTTCTATGTTCACCAGATGTCAATAGCTCTGGAATTCAACATAGGGTTGAATAAGGGTTCAACGTAAACATATTGGGGCTAATGCATTCATAAGGATGTCATTAAAAACAGAGGAGAACACAGATTTAAGCAATTAAAAGTTATACATACATCATTCCAGTGATCTGATCTGCATATAAATTTTATAGTATACACAAACACATTTGCTTCACAAAAAAAACTTGATAAATGCTGGTCAAAGGCCAGGTTTTTCTATTTGTTATAATTTAGGACATATGAATAAGCATTGGATATAATCTATCCCATGCTCATAATAATAATAATATTGATTTATCTAATATAGCATCTTTCAAAATTCAGTGTACCTGGCACATTTATTCATACTTCACTTCTTTCAGCATTCATTTATGTACATGCCCCTTGCACTACATAGTGAGCTTCTTGAGTCAAAGATATGCATCATTTACTTTTGAATCTTTTAAAGAATATGTGCTGTATGTAGATATTCATGAAGAAGTTTTTCTTATTAATGAATTAATGAGTGAATTAATTAATGAGTACTCTAAATGTTTACTGGATACATCAGAGAAGGAAGGAAAGAAGGACGGAAGGAAGAAGGAATTCTCAAACTATTTAGACTATAATACTTTTTACTTCTGTATGTATTATTTATTGTGAGAAAATATCCTAAATACTTGCATATCACTTACCATAATCCTCCCCAGAAACTTGTGCCACAGGTGTTATTATATTATCTATTTTGCCAGTAATGTAATCAGAGCTTTGGCAGGTTAATTAATGTATTCAGGGTAATAGGTTCAGGGAATGGCATAGCCTGGATAAACCTCAGATCAATCTGACCACAAAAGTATGTTCTTAACACCCTAGAGAGGGGACATAAAGACTGCCTTCAATATTAGAACAGCACGTGCTTTTTTTCTGTTGAGGTGGGAGAAGCCATAGAATCCAGATACTGAGCTTGTCTTTTTTTTTTTTTTTTTTTTTTTTTTTTGAGACGGAGTCTTGCTCTGTCGCCCAGACTGGAGTGCAGGGGCCGGATCTCAGCTCACTGCAAGCTCCGCCTCCCGGGTTTACGCCATTCTCCCGCCTCAGCCTCCCCAGTAGCTGGGACTACAGGCGCCCGCCACCTTGCCCGGCTAGTTTTTTGTATTTTTTTTAGTAGAGACGGGGTTTCACCATGTTAGCCAGGATGGTCTCCATCTCCTGACCTTGTGATCCACCCGTCTCGGCCTCCCAAAGTGCTGGGATTACACTGAGCTTGTCTTATGTCTACACCATAATTAGATGTCATGAAATGGCATCAATTTTCATATGATTTGAGATAAAATTTCTGGGAAATTATATTCACGTATCTATCACAGTGAGAATTTGCCATGTTTAATAAGGATTTATTTTCTGATTCTTCTACCAGGAAAAAGAATATATATGTACATGTACACAATTGACCCTTGAACGATACAGACTTGGCGCTGGCCAGGTTCACTCATATGCATTTTTTTTTTCAATTAAAAGCTATAAAAAATACAGTAGTTGCATGATGAGAAACCCACCCACATGTTTGGAGTGCCAATTTTTCACATAGGCAGGTTCTAGTACATTCAGAGGCAGAGTTCCTGGAACCAATTCCCCACAATAACAAGGGATGACTGTACATACACATACATTTACATCTGTGTATAAGCATACAGATGAGATATACATACATCAGTCTTCTTTGCTCAAACTTATAATGCATACAATTTTTGATGAAAAGTATACCTGCTTTCATACTCTGTAAGCTATTTTTAATAGGTTAAATGTATTGCTTTTAGAAAAGAAAGAGCATAATTTAGGAGAATGGCGTGATCCCGGGAGGCGGAGCTTGCAGTGAGCTGACATCCAGCCACTGCACTCCAGCCTGGGTGACAGCAAGACTCCATCTCAAAACAAAAAATAAAAAAAAAAAAAAAGCATAATTTGAAAACACTAGGACTATTTGCTACCTTAATAAGTTAACAAACGACTTTTCAAAAAATATCTATATATTACTCAAAATCAGTGGTTTTGTTTGATATGTTCATATGCACAATACATTCCTAAGGTTATGCTTACTTCCTAGCATATAAATTGAAATTCTACCCTTCTCCCTCCAATTCAATCAAGGATATTGAAAACCGATTGTGGCATTATTAGGTAGATAACTTCTCAAAGTTATTTAAGTTTATAATTTGTTAAATGTATTGTTATTATTAACACAATTTTGATATATATTATGTATAATGAGCCACAATAAACAGATTACTTAAATGGAAGTAATGTATTTCAATAGTAAATGCCATATTCTTCTAATTTAAATTTGGACTCTATGTTACTAATAGTTTAAATAGTATTTGCAGAGGACTAAAACTTCTTGTAAAGTCAAATAAAAGTTTCTCCTATTGATGAATTAATTTTAATGCGATTACCATGGTTTTCTAAGTGATATAGGGACTTCAAAGACTATGGTACTATACTAAGTGAAATTAGTATTTCACTGAGTAGTGGAAGGAAGCTTATCTATGCCATCTTAAAGATTTAAGGGAGTAAGAAGGACAAATTTGGAATTGCTCACATCAGAATTGCCAAAAGCACTCTCATTTAGCACAGTAGTAAATAGGAGAATAAATATTTATCAAATTTTCAAGGTATTCTAGTAATAGATTTAAATGAATTGTTTCATTTAATAATTTTGAATCTCAGCAACTTTTGGTGGTATGTATTTACTGTGAAGCTTAAACAGGCTAAGCAACTTAGTAGAGATCACAGAACTAATCCTTAGCTCATGATAATTCATGAGAAAGTACAAAAGGGAAATTAAACCCAGAAAAGCATTTACCTTTACGCATAAAAGGGGATTTGCTATGATCCATCACTGTAGTTGGTAGATGTGTATAATTTACCAAAGGATTGTCCTTCATCACTTCGAATGAGGTGTGATTGATGATCCTATCCAAGATCTCATCATTCAGGTTCTTCCCTAGAAATCTAATGATCTTCTTGATTTCTTCCTTTGGATTCTATTAGTGGGTAAAACCCAAGACAATAAGCAAGTAACTCACACAATGTGAATATTTACAAAACATTTATAATCTGTTTTTCTAAATTTAACTCTGAATAATATAGGAAATCCATATTTGTTTGGGTTTATTTTTCTCAATTTTTAAATAAACTAATCATAAAATATTAAAAATCAAGAATATCTGTTTTATTTTCTATGTCAGTCCTCTCTGACAGAAGAATGAGATCAGAACTTAAGGTGTGTCAGTGGTTAGAATGAGTAAAAGAGCAGACGTGATGATAGTAGATATAAGCCCAAAAGAAAAGATAGTAGTTGTGCTAGGAAAACACATAGATGGACAGGCAAATAGAGAACATTTTCTTTTTGGGGTCAAAAATATCTGGAGAATAATTTGGCTAATCCTAAAATATGAATGATGATATTAGTCCAGGGGTCCCCAACCCACTGGCCGCAGACCAGTACCAATCAGTGGCCTGTTAGGAACTGGGCCACACAGGAAGATGTGAGTGGTGGAGGAACAAGCACTACTGCCTGAGCTCCACCTCCTGTTAGATCAGTGGTGCCATTAGATTCTCACAGGAGAATGAACCCTATTGTGAACTGAGTATGTGAGGGATCTAGGTTGCACACTCCTTATGAGAATCTAATGCCCAATGATCTGATGAAATAGTTTCATCTGGAAACTATCCATCTACAGACCCCTTGCACCCTGTTCATGGAAAAATTGTCTTCCACAAACCCGGTCCTTGGTGCCAAAAAGGCTGGGAACCTCTGTGTTAGTCTATAGACCAGTGGAAGTTAAAGAGACCTGGCTCTGGTCTGAATCTTCCCCTGATCTGTTACTCTTTTACCTCACTTATTAGGAATTTATGTAGATACTTATAAACATGTTGTAAATTACTGGATTTTTTTTTTCAAATTTTATTATTGATGTATATTGTATAATTTTCTTCCATTATTGTTGTTGTATTAAACTTCTCTATAACATTATCTACAAATGATTGTATGGCAGAAGAAAAATATTGTCTGTTAATGCAATGTATGTTGCAAGTTTGAAGGAAACTGAAAATATATGGATATGCTTAAAAAGGTAACCGGGTTAGACTATAAATCAAAATGAGTAAGTTTATTTAAATAAAACATTTTAGCTAAATAAAGACAGAAATGGTCTCAAATATTATGTGGGAAACAGTGTAATGGTTGATTTGGAATTTGAATAACAGCCAAACAGAGAAAATGTATTTCTTAGTCTTATGGAGAAAAGGGACTATTGCCAGAAGCTAAAATTGTTCTTTTTATAAAGCTTTTAAGTGCTGCTCTGCTATCCAAAACATGAAGAGAGATATTTGTTAGAGATCTGGAATAATTTTCTCTCTTATGAAGAATTTATAACTTATCCCTGGCTAAACAAACTCTCAAGAGACGTATCACTTTGTTACAGTAGTTTCATAAACCATGCAAGGTTTTGCAGTTGTATGGTGTGAGCAAATTAACATTAATAATCTCAAACCATGTATAAAGGGACAACGATAAGACATAGATCACAGATTCTTTATGGGATGTGGACAACTGTGATGGAGAATGAAAACTTGGGCAGTGAATAAAAACTCAGAGGATTCTTTGTGCTAAGATACAAGAAACCCCTGGGAGTTTCTCAAAACGAACTAAAGCAAGGAATATTTCACATGGAGTCAAATTTCTGTGTTATGCAAAGTAGCATTAATGCCATTAAAGTTTTGGATATTACTACTCACTCATTTATTTATTGAAGCAATCAATGATCCATGCAAGTAACTTTGAGCCCCTGTTTATGTGGTATGCACTGTATTAAGTACTGGGATGTAGTTACAAAGAAGACAAACTTTGTAATTTTCGTTGTAGATCTGAAAGTATTCTAATTTGTATGTTCAGGCTTTTATAAGTAAAGGAATTAATTTCAACATGTTTTCCTGTTGTGTGTGTCTCTGTGTGTATTTGGCCAATTTAAGTAGAAGAGTTCCATAATGGTGGCATGAAAATTTGTAGCTGTATTTAATTAATACTACTTCATACTAGGTAGATGATTATAAGTTTCTACACTGAATGAGGTAGTGAGGAAGTAAAGGAGGGAATACTTTGAAAGATACAGTAGATACACTATCTGAACCAACTGAATGTGCGAAATATAGGAAACAGAATAAGAATAACTTTTATTGTTGAGAGAGAATAAAATAGAAAAAAGATTACATGTTGGAGAGAAGGAAAATAAGTTTAATTTTGAATATGTTAAATTTAATACAAGCATGGGCTAGAAAATCGAGGTAGAAGTAAAAATGGAGGCACAGATAACAGATGATTAGCACATAAATAGCTGTAAAAACAGTAAATGTGAAAGGGGTAACTCAAATATAGCAAACAATTTTAAAAAACAATTTTAAAATATTAATGAGTAGACATCTAGAGGATAACCATAAGCATGTGATATCCTGGTAAATGTAGAAATAATTGCAGAAGAAAGAGTGGTCACTTACAATGCAGTGGCTAAGATATAACATAAATAAAAATAAATAATTGATTTCACAATTAGAAAGTCATTAATTATAGCAAGATTTGGGTAAAAACACATTGTGAATAGGCAAAGCAATCAGCATTTTGGACTCCATAGACTAAGCTGAAAAGCAAATATCAATCCTTTTACACCATGATGCAGTAGGGAAATTATGCAGAATCCATATCTATCACTTTACCTCTTTCATATCTTCATAGTACAAGAAAAGTATTGGGTGTTCTTCCTTTTTTTTCCACCAGTTTTTAACATGAGTAAACCAGGAACCATAGGCCACTAAAACCAGATAAAAGTCTATTTTCATAAACATTCATCAAATTAAATATTTCTGTCTGAACAGTAAATCAAATTGTGAAAATATTTTGTGGAATTTAGTAACCAAATGAACTGAGAATATGAGGCCAATTTTAAAAAGTAAAATTAGCTAGTTATGGATATATAAACATCAGATATTTTTTAATGTCAAGGACAAAGAAAGCATTTCAGACAAAAATACTCTGACCTCCAAAAAGTTATGCTTAGTCTCATAAAGAAGAAAACCATTATCTTACAAAGTACTCATATCAACTATTTACCTAAGTATTATAAATATATAACATATGCATTAACAGATCTAACTAATTGCTTAAGCAAGTTAAATAATGTCTATTGCGAGCAGGGACTGAGAATGGATTTCTAGCAACTGAGAACAGATTATAGAATACTTTCATATGCCAATGATTAATACTAGTTTTATAAATTGAATGTCGTGGTAAAACATTAGATGCATTAGATTTAATTTTTTTAGATAATATTTGAACACACTTTTCACTGGGTTGGAAAAATAAATATTTTGAAAGTCATAATAGTTATTGTTAATAGTATTATTAAAATAAAAAAATACTTATCAATTTTGAGATAAAGTCCATGTACCTTTTCCAGTTATGAATTTGTCCAGATATTCTTCCCAGGTACCAGGAAAAGGTTGTAAATTATTCATTAAGTCGAAATGGTAATATGAGACTGAAACATCCTTGGCATTACGAGCCAGATAAATCATCTGCAGTAGGAGGCGGGGGGTAGGAGAAAAAAATAAAACAAAAGACATTTTATTTAGGAAAAAATTAACCTATAAGCATGTAAAATAGCACAGTACTTTTTCAACTGGAAATCGTGGGCCCAGAAGGTCCTTCTATTAGCAGCTAAAATACAGAATCAATTCAAGTGATTTTCAATACAGCAATGAATTTTTGAGATTAGAAACATTGAGCTATAGAGGTTTTGAAACAAAGATTTCAGTTTCTGGCCACTTGACACGGTGAAGCACAAACAGACTACTGTATCTTCTGGAAGAACTGCAAGGTTCTAGAACACACATTATCAAGAAAATGACACTGTGAGTAGAGAGAATACCAGCAAATTGAAAATAACAAAATAGTGGGGAAAAAAATAAAAGTTTTCACTTTTCATTTCTACCAGTTAAATACCCAGAGAAATATTAGGTGCTGATAAAAATATATAGAAAGGAAAAGAAGGTAAAGATAGTAAAGGACATTAAAATAAGTTTGGGACATTAAAATAACTATACCATCCAGTTCAGAAACTAGAAGGTATAGACTCACTATTTTCTGCCTCGCTACTTCTCTACTCTTTTTTTGTTTTGTTTTGTTTTGTTTTGTTTTGTTTTGTTTTGAGACAGAGCCTCACTCTGTCGCCCAGGCTGGAGTGCAGTGGTGCGATCTCTCGGCTTATTGTTGCAAACTGCGCCTCGCTGGTTCAGGCCATTCTCCTGCTTCAGCCTCAGGAACTACAGGCGCCTGCCACGACGCCCGGCTAATTTTTTGTATTTTCAGTAGAGACGGGTTTTCACCGTGTTAGCTAGGAAGGTCTCAATGATCTGAGATCGTGATCCGCCCGCCTCGGCCTCCCAAAGTGCTGGGATTACAGGCGTGAGCCACTGCGCCTGGCCTTCTCTATTCTTAATATCACTAAAGCCCTGGAAATTATTCAACATACAATGATACGAGAACTCTAAAGGCATACTGGATAAAGAGCTGAGTAATGCCAATGTGGTGAGTTCCTCCTAGGTGTCGTTTTTATCTCCTGTATACTCTTGGACTGGGCAGCAAAAAGGACTGTGACCTGGAACAAACAAACAAAATCTAGAAAAACCTGCTCTCCCTGGTCAAAGGATTAGGAAAGAGGAAACCCAACAGAGACATAGTAGAGAATCCCAAACTCTGCTCCACACTCGGGGTCCCTGTAGGTGAACTAACTCACTGCCAGTAGTGGCAATGAAGCACTGGGCCATTCAAACTCCTGTGATACAAATGGGGCTTCATGGGCAGTCCCACCCATTCACAGTGATAACATCAGAGAAGCCCTGTTTCTCCCAGGCCCCAAGGCTTCTCTCCTACTTTCAAATGGTCAGCCAACAAGAGCAGGAAGTCCAGGAAAGTACCTTATACCCCTTTTACGTGGCATCAGCAGGGATGGTACAGTATGTCCAGCAGCCCCAGAAATCAAATAAGCAAGAAAAACAAAACGGAGATGAATCAAATGTTAAATTGTCTGACAAAGATTTAAAGGAGCTGTCATAAAAGAGCTTCAACATTCCATTAAAAATTGTCTTGGAGGGTGGACCAAGATGGCTGAATAGAAGGCTCTACCAACCATCCCCCACACCTCAAAAGGAATATCAAATTTGCCAAGTACCTACACAGAGAAAGTACCTTCATAAGAAACAAAAATCAGGTGAGCACTCACAGTACCTAGTTTTAACTTCATTTCACTAAAACAGCCATCAAAGATGACAGGAAAGACAGTCTTAGAATTGCCATTGCCATGCCTCCCCCAACCCTGAGTAGCAGCTGTGTGGCATGGCGAGAATCTGTGCACTTGGGAGAGGGAGAGCACAGTAATTATGAGACATTGCATTGAACTCAGTGCTGCCCTGTCACAGTGGAAAGCAAAACCAGATTGAACTCAGCTGGCAGCCTTCCATGAAGGAAACATATAGACCAATCCTATCTAGAGGGAATCACACATCCCAGTGATAGAAATATGAGTTTCAGCAAGCCTCACCACACAGGCTACAGTGCTCTGCACCTGTAAATAAACTTGAAAGACAGTCTAGACCACATGCTTCTAGGCATGTTCCAGTGCTGAGATGGCCTCAGAACCAGTGGACTTGAGGGTTACAAGTCGTACTGCGATATACAAGACTAAGGGAATGCTTGTACCACCCTTCCCCAAACTCCAGGCTGCACAGTTGGTAGATTCAAAAGAGATCCCTTCCTTCCACTTGAGCAGAGGAGAGGGAAGAGCAAAGAGGACTTTATCTTACATCTTGGATACCAGCTCAGCCACAGTAGGATAAGGTACCAGTCTGAGTTATGAGGCTCCTATTCACACAAATATATATGCATACAGTGTACCCACAAAAGTTAAAAATTGAAAAAAAAAAAAAAACAAGTGAAAACATAGAAAAGAAATTTGAGTTATATTTGTAGAGTTAAATATGTGGGAAGTATAGATCTGCAATATATAATAACTGAAATAAATAAATAAATCACTAGATGGACCGAATAGTGTAATGGCAATGTTAGAGGACAGAATCAGTGAACATAAAGGCATATCAATAGAATTTACTCAATGTTAACAACACAGAGAAAATAGAATAAAGACAATAACGAGAACCTTCAGAATCTGTGGGACAATAACAAGAGGCCTAACATTTGTATATTTAGAGTTACACATTTATAGGTGGAAGAGTAAGGAACTGAAACAGTATTTGGAGAGTTGGTGATCAAAAACTTCCCATAAGTGTTGAAATAAACAAATCAATATATCTAAGAAGTTGTGTGAACTCCAAAAAGGAAAAAAAAAAAAAAAAAGATGTCAAGAAACATTATAAAAATACTTCTAAAAATTAAAGATGAATAAAACTCTTAGAAAAAAGCCAGATATACAGCACATTGCGTAATAAAGATCACCAATTCAAATGACAAGTTTCTCATCTAAAACCATGAAGGCCAAAAGGAAATAGCACAATAGTTTTTCAAGTGTAGCAAGTAATATATTGTCAATTCCTAATCCTATATACAGTAAAACTGTTCTCAATCAAGAAGGGGAAAAAGACATTCTCAGAAAAAGGAAAACTAAGAGAATCAATTGCTCGTAGACCTCTCTTCTGGAATAGCTAAGGGAAGTTCTCCAAACAGAAAGAAAATGACACTAGAAAGATGAAAACTTTAGAAAGGAAAAAGAAAAAGAGAATGGGTAAAAATAGAAGTAAATATAATAGCTAATCACTCACCTAATGAATTTCTTGAGTCATATTTTACAGTTGAGGCAAAAGTTACATTATCTGATGCGGTGTTCAGTTTATGTACAGGATCACTCGGGACCATTATGTTGAAAATACGGAGAGAGTAAAGGGGCCTAAATGGAAGTAAGATATCTACACTTCACTTAAAGTGAGAAAATGTTGACACCATTAGACTGTGATGAGTTATGTATATTTATGGCAATACCTAAAGCACTCACTAAGAAAACTATGCAAAAATATATTCAAAAATACTAGAAATAAGTAAAAATTATTTCCAAAATGTTTAGGTATAACAAAGGAAAGAAAGAAAAAGAAAAGAAATGAGATACAGAAAGAACAAACAGATGATCAGGTAGACATAAGTCCTAAAATGCCAATAATGTCTTTATTTATTTATTTATTTATTTATTTATTTATTTATTTATTATTTTTAGCTTTTAGGTCCAGTGGGTACATGTGCAGATTTGTTGCTTATTTATGTGTCACTGGGGTTTTGTGTAGAAATGATTTTGTCACCCAGGTAGTGAGCATATTACCTGAAAGGCATTTTTTTGACTTGTACCCTCCTACCACCCTTCATCCTCAATTATGCCCTGGTTTCTATTGCTCTCATCTTTGTGTCCAAGTATACTCAAGGTTTACCTTCCATGTGTAAGTGAGAACATATGGTATTTGGTTTTCTGCTCCTAAATTAATTTGCTTAGGATAATGGCCTCCAGCTGCATCCGTGTTGCTGAAGAATACATGATTTCCTTTTCTTTATAGCTGTGTAGTATTCCATGGTGTATACACACCACATTTTCTTATGTGTTCCACCATTAATGGGGATTGTATTAACAAGTTCTCACTCTGCTGTAAAGAACTGTGTGAGACTAGATAATTTATAAGGGAAAAAGGGCTGGGCGCGGTGGCTCAAGCCTGTAATCCCAGCACTTTGGGAGGCCGAGGTGGGTGGATAATGAGTTCAGGAGTTCAAGACCATCCTGGCTAACACGGTGAAACCCTGTCTCTACTAAGAAGTACAAAAAATTAGTTGGGCGAGGTGGCGGGCGCCTGTAGTCCCAGCTACTCGGGAGTCTGAGGCAGGAGAATGGGGTAAACCCTGGAGGCAGAGCTTGCAGTGAGCCGAGATCGCGCCACTGCACTCCAGCCTGCGTGACAGAGCGAGACTCCGCCTCAAAAAAAAAAAAAAAAGGAAAAAGGTTTAATTGACTCACAGTTCTGCATTACTGGAGAAGCCTCAGGAAACTTACAATCATTGCGGAAACAAAAGAGAAGCAGGCACCTTCTTCACAGGGCGACAGGATGGAGTGAGTCCAAGCAGGGGAAACACAAGACACTTAAAAAACCATCAGGTCTTGTGAGAACTCACTCACTATCATGAGAACATCATGGGGGAAACTGCCCTCATGATCCAATTACCTCCACATGTTCCCTCCCATGACACATGGGGATTATTACAATTCAACATTAGATTTGGGTAGGAACACAGAGCCAAACCATATCATTCTGCCCCGGTCCCTCCCATATCTCATGTCCTCACATTTTGAAACATAATTATGCTTTTCCAATAGTCCCCCAAAGTCTTAATCCGGCATTAACCTAAAAGTCCAAGTCCAAAGTCTCATCTGAAATAAGGCAAGTCTCTTCTGCCTATGAACATGTAAAATTGAAAGTCAGTTATTACTTACTAAATACAATGGGGGTACAGGCATTGGGTATAGACACCC